GACAAACAAACAAACAAGCCAGGAATTGGAAAGCTTCTTAGGCAACTGCTGTACAGTACCTATGGTTTACGAAAAAAAGCTCACAGCCATCGAGTTGTTGCCATCTCATAGCAGCCCTGCAGGCCCGGGCAGAACTGCTCCTGTCACTTTCCAAGACCGGATGATCACTCTTTATGGAAGCAGATAGTCCCATCTTTCTCCTGAGAAGCAGCTGGTTTCAGTTGCCAGTGGACCTCGTGGTAGCAGCCCAGTGTGTAACCACTAGGCCACAAGAGCTCCTGTTCCTACCTGTGGTAGGTAGGAACATAACCAGGTCTACCCATAATAAGCCCTAAATAAATTAATTAAATCACACCGTGGCCAACTTGTCGATTTTGACTCATAATGACCCTCCTATATAGGGTTTCTGAAACTAAATCTTTACAAGCGAACAGTCTCATCTTTTCCCGAGGGGCAGCTCATGGATTTGAACTGCCAAAATGGCAGTTAGCAGACCAATGCCTGCTCCATAATGATACCAGGGCTTGCGCAGATGCAAATGGAAAACCCCAGAGCTCTGCAGGACAGGATTAGATTCCGTGAGAATGCCCCAACGCTGGAAATGCAAGATTTTCAAACCCAGGAAACCAGACACCGTAAGACCTTCGAAAGCTGGAGCCCATGTAAGGCAGAACCCTGTCCAAAAGGAACCCCAAATACTTCTCACTAACACAAGCAATAGAACAGTGGTAAGTCTACAGCCTGTCAAAGACCCGGAGAAGCCCAGACAGTCTGAGGCATTCTGGTTTTCATGGTTTCCCGTTTCTGGCCTGTTGGATTTGGCTCTCGGACTTGCCAAAGTTGCCTTATATGGAAGCACAATTGTTACCCTTGCATAAGATGACCAGATTTTAACATTGGTAAAGCGGGACAAAAGTGGGACATCATTGATAAAACGTAGCCACATGGCAGCCGAAAACCATATACCCTAGCTTGCCGTGCATTCTTTCCAAAAATCGGGACTTTTTTAAAACGCCGCGGGACGCGGGGAAAATTGTTCAAAAGCGGGACGCCTGGTCACCTTATCCTTGCATGGGTGGCTGGTGGCCTGTCAGACACCTCACTCTACATGGCACTGGAGAGATCATCAGGCCATCACGGAATTTCTGTGATACACGCAAAGTAACATTCCCGATACACTAGTCTGAAAGCCACCTACCGGTGATGTCTTTTTACCTCAACAGGTAAGGCTCTACATGAAGACTTGGACATCATTTTATTAATTAATTTCAACAGCGAAGCAGCACAAAAGAAAGACAGTCAATTTCTAACGAAAACAACGAAGACAGAAACAATAATATTAAGCCACAGGTTGTCAAATCCCAGTATCTGCGTACACACCCCCTTTGCCTCAACTTGGAACAAATTAATGACTTAACCAGTCAGGTCAGCAGGTCAAACCCAGCAGCCACTCCTAGAGAGGAAGAGGAGGATGCTTGCTCTGGTAAAGATGTATAGCCTTAGGGACGCTATTATCATGTTGCTTGCTGTGTGGCAGAACTGTCTCGATGGCAGTGAGGTTGGTTGGAGCTGGCACTGAGACAAGTCTGTCAAGTGAATGAGCCTGCCCAAAACAGAGTATGAAAATGATCATTCTGGAAGAAAACACAGGAGTTCTCCAAAATAGACTTCCTCCAGGCCACTAATTTTTAAAGGAGCATGGTGGTGCAGTGGGTTAAGCATTAAGCTGCTTGTGGCTACAAGATCAACAGTGCAAGCTCACTAGCCTCTCCTAGTGGGAGATGAGGCTGTCTGTTCCGGTAAAGATTTACCGGCTCAGAAACTCTTAGGAAGCAGATCTACTCTGTCCCATGGGATCTCTCCGAGTCAGAATCAAGGTGATTGCCAGTAGGTTTGATTTGGGTAGTTCCCAGCCATGCGAATCAATTACATGCTGAGCTGGTAACTGAAAGGTTGGAAATTGGAAGCCACGCAGGGGCACCCCAGAAGAAAGGCCTGGCCATCTTCTAAAATAAATTCCGTCAGTGAAAGCCCTATGGGTCGCCATGAGTTAGAATCCCACTACATGGCAACCGTTTGGCTTGGGGTAATTTTTGAGGCATGTTTATTCAAACTGAGCTATACTCAGTACTTTTAAAAAGACTATGATGGTTAATAATTATTATTATTACTACTAATTACATGGTTAGCTATTAACCATATCATCTGCAGAAGGCCACATGCCAAGTGATTTGTATGCAATAGCTCAATATTATCAGACAGAAACTATTATCCTCCTTTCCAGATGAGGAAATTGAAGCTTCAAGATGCAAAATAGCTTGTCTGAGATTGTACTGTGGTTAAGTGAAGAAACTGGGCTTATAAGCAAAGTGTGTCTAATCCAAAGTCCCAGGCATGACCTTAGCCACTACTCAACACTTCATTCAAAACCCTAAACAGTACAAAGAAAGAACAGAATGAGTACCTTCAAATCTTTCAAACTGGAACCAGGAGGGGAAATACTCGTCTGTGCTCGATATGACGTAGACATTTAAATACATGGACCACCATAATGTACTGCTACCAATCACTCCATCTGCTGCACTAAAGCAAACTCTTTCCTCTGCCGGCTACTTCAGTAACCAGATCCAGTGATGACTGATATTGAAACATAATAAAACTCTACTTTTGCATAAATACCAACTCCAAATTCCTCCTTAGATCAGACCAGCCTCTGTCCTCAGCCCAAATTGTTGAGAACATACTCACAGCCTATACCTATTTCTCTTCAACACACCCTTTCTGTTCAGGCTGCCAGGGAAAGAACACATTCAGGCAGACTACGACTATGTTTAGACATCAAACAAAAGAATCTAGTATCAGAATCTGTTCTCCTCCTCATGCTTCTCCTGCTTTGCGTTTAACAAAATGTGTAAAGTATTGGTTAATTCCACTGCATATGTCCTCCAAACAGAAACAGTACAAAACAGCACTGTACTATTATAACGTAACACTAATTTGGAAATACGAACTGTAAAATATTCAGGAGACTTAGTGAAGGCGGTAATAGCCTTAACTGAGGAAGGATCTTTCATTACATGATCATATGAAACTGGGCCAGGCACAGATTACGCAGTACATAACATCCAAGGAAACGTCCATCTGTAATCTCTTCATTTTACATATAGAACATTCTGTGTTAACTGCATACTCTGGTATTCGATCCTGTTCTGAAAGGGAGTATTATAAATGCACATGGGAAAGGGGTTACAGCAATACTCACAGTGAAAAAACTCTGGACTTCTATGCGATTAAATTCTCAAGCATAACACCGCATTATTTTTTGCATAAATTCATACAACTTACATAAATATTGGCTTTTAAAAGCTGGGGAGGGTACCACCAGAGCAGTCCAGTAGGCCAACTAGTCATCGGCTCTGTCTCTGACAGTGACCAGTGCTGGGTGCCTCCCAGGAGAGCACAAACACTTAGCATGCGTATGTGAATATGCGCCACCACCCCCTGGCCAGATGATGGCTAGATCAGATCCCAGCCCCCACCCCGCAGTAATTCCCCAAAAGGAGCCCAGGGAGCATCCAATGAAGCACAACAAACCGGCACTTGATGAGAGAATACAGAACTGACACAGAGCCAGTCCCTGAAGATAGCGACACTCAACAGAGCCTGAGCTCATCAGAAGTTTTAAGGTTTTAAAACTAAACTGGAAGCCACCTGATCCACTCAATCCAATGGGATTCTTTTCAAGACAAAACTTAATGTTTAAAAGAGAAAGCACAGAAAACCACTAGGCCTCCTCCTCAAGTGTCACCACTTTGTGCTTTGTATGCAGCACACTGGTTTGTAGAAAGCCGGATCCTGTCTGTGGTTTCAGCTCTTCTGGGAATGGCATCCACACCTGGTTTGTAAGGACTTTCAATGTAAGGCTTGGATTTATTAAATGTTCATCTAAGTGTGCGAAATCACACAATCCTAAAACCTTGGGATGGTCCTTCAGGAAGGACTATTTCCTACACAATTACGAAGAAGGGAAAGAAGTATCGTACTTTTAAAGACCTCTGGTGAAGCGAATTCCCTTGTCATGTACTTGGGTATTGATTTAATAGCCCTTGTCGTCAGGAAACAGTTCCTGACCTAAATCCTCCATGGTACAATTTGAATCCATTTTCTCTTTTCCTGATCTCAAGCAAGCTGGAGAAGATCAGGTTATATCACAATATTTTATATATTTGAAAATCCTTACTAAAATCTTCTTTTCCAGGACCAAATAATAGGCCTATACTGAAATTACTCTGAGAATTTTTACACACTAACCCAAAAGACAGATCTCAAATATTATTTACACACCATTTTTACCACAAACTGTTCTGCCTCCTAAGGGAGTTTCAAAAAAACAAGTTCAGGGGGAAACTCCATTATCTCTTCATTCCATTTTACCACAAACTTGCTGATGCTCTCAAAATACTTTGAAAAGATCTATGTTTTGCCCCACCCCACCCCCAACCCCCCCACATACAAAAGTTCAGAAAGGGGTATTATGAGAAATGAGAGCAAGGAACAATCAGACGAAATTCCAGGCTGAACCGCTTCTTCCCTAGAATAGGGCATCATTTCATAAACTGTGTCTCTTGAAGACTCTGGGAAAGCGTGGAAGCTGCAGTGCAGTATCATAAAATCTGCAGCTGTGTTGCTGTTCTTAACCGTCCACTTGCTTCATTGGCGCACAGGAAGCCAAAACACACAGTCCAAGCTGCACTTACCTTTGCTAGACCTGGCCGGGGCAGCAAAGCAGTTGGGAGAGACCAAGCATCAAAACAGTTATTGAGAAGAACAGGCACACCCCTAGGAATTGGAATTTTCGACTCAAGCCATTTGCTCACTCAAGGAAAGCGGTATCTATTGATGCTTCCAAACCTCACTTCTTCTTCCTCTTTTTTCAGAAATGAAGTCTACACGCTAGGCAGATAAACTGGACAACACATAAATAAGCATTAATAACTTACTTTTATTGCCCACCAAGGCAACCAGTGGCTGCGTTTCTGACTCCTCACTCACTTTCTTCACCGCCGAATACCAATCTTCTAAATTCTCAAAGCTTTGGTAATTTGTAATATCGTACACCAAAAGGATTCCCTGTCACAAAACAGTTACAGAATGCTTGTAGTGAGCTCCATGGAAAAGGACGTCAATACTGAACTACACAAAAGTTAGACTGCCTGTAATGAGCTACTTGGGAAAATACCTGAATATGATTAGGTTCGAATAACGCTTCAGCTATGTAAAACAGGGTGCAAAAATACATACTCGTTCTTTTGTGTGCAAATTGACTCAAGGTACAATCCTATCAAAGCTGGCAGTACTAAACTCCCTGGGATGTGCACGGTGAACGGAAGAAGGCTGTACAGTCGAGATTCCTGGCGCTGGCCTTCAAGAGAAAGCAAGTGTGCTTTTCAATCAATAACCATCTGTGCTGCTCTCTTTAAGTATTTTCAAAAATGATGATTCTATAAAGTCCCTAGACAGTCTATTTGAGTGTTGAACACAATTTCCTTTAAATGGGCTAAGTCAATTTCCTCTTTGGGCCCTCTGTGCATTTGGAGAACAACTTGAGAGTGTCCTCCTTATAATCCCCCTTCATGTCCTCAAAGATAGTTCAGGAACTCCTTTACTGTCTCCTTTCCGGAGTAAACAAACTCAATTCCTTACACTTCCCTCAAAAGACTTATTTTCCACCCCTTTAATCGCTGGTGTTGTGTCTTCCCAGGATGCTCTCCCTGCAGCGATGTCAGGCTGCACACGATACTGTAAGAAGAGTCTGCACAATGCCAGGCACAACAGGGGGGCTGCTGCTTTCCTCATCTGCATCATATTCCTTTTAATATACCCCTTGATGTTGTGTGGGGAGGAGGAGAGGTACACACACACTAACAGCATCACAATCTTGACTCTCACCCAGTTGGTGGTCTAACACTTAATACAAAACTCTGCATAAAAAGTACATTAAGTCAAAATATGCTAAATGTTTTGGGCCCCTAATAGCATTTATAGGAGCGCTGAATATGATTAGGTTTGAATAATGCTTCAGCTATGTAAAACAGCTATGTACAAATGTGTTGGGCCCCTAATAGCACTTATAGGAGCCCTGGGGGCTCGGACAGGCAAGTGTTGATCTGCTAACCAAAAGGTCAGTGGTTCAAACTCACCATCTGCTCTGTGGGCAAGAGATGAGACACATGCTTCCATCAAGATTTACAAAGCCTCTCATTCATTGCCACAGAGTCGATGGTGATTCATAGTGCCCCTGTAGGACATGGTAGAACGACCTGCACTGTGGGTTTCCAAGGCTGTAACTCTTGACAGGAGTAAAAAGCCAACCTCATCTTGCTCTCCTGGAGCAGTTGGTGGTTTCGAACTGATGACCTGGCAGGTAGCAGCCCAACTCGTAACCACTAAACCACCAGAGCTCCTTTACAAAGTTTAGGAAACCTCTACAGGGCCGCTATGAGTCAGTATATCTACCAGTTGTCTGTCAGTTTGTCATACTGTGGTAGCTTGAGCTTTGCTATGAAAATTCAAATATTATAAGGAAGTGTGCAAAGGCCTAGGGCTAGAAAACTGGACGTGGCACATCTGAAACAGAGAATTCAAGAAAAGATTCCAGTTGCAATCTTTTTTTTAAGATTCTATGGGAAAAGTATTGAATGATGAAAGAAGCTTCAAGAGAAGATGGAAAGAACACAGTTACTGAACCAAAAAGAACTAGTGAACGGTCCACCATTTCAGAACCAATGGTGCTGAAGGAAGTTGTTCAAGCTTGACTAAATGCATTAGCCAAAAACAAGGTTCCAGGAATTGATGGAATACAAACGGAAATGTTTGAACAAGCTGACAAAACACTGGAGCATTCACCTGTCTATACCAGAAGATTTGCAAGACAGCTACTTGGCCAAATGACTGGAAGAGGTCCATCTTCGTGCCCATTCCAAAGAAAGGTGAATTCTAGAACATTATCATGATATCATATGCAAATAAAATTTTGCTGAAGATCACCCAACAAGGTTGCAGCAGTACATTGACAGGGAACTGCCATAAGTTCAGGCTGGATTCAGAAAGGACATGTAACAAGAGCAGCTATCACTGCTGGTGTCAGATGGATCTTGTCTCAAAGCAGAGAATACCAGAATGATGTTTACTTGTGTTTCATTGACTGTGCAGACCATAATACACTATGGATATATAATCTTGAGAAAAATGGGAATTTCAAAACACTTCATCATGCTCACTCAGAACTTGTACATAGTACATAGATCAAGAGGCAGTTGTGTGACCACAACAAAGGAATACTGCATGGTTTAAAATCAAGAATGGTGTGAATCAGAGCTATATCCTCTCACCATACTTAGTCAACCTGTATGCTGATCAAATCATCAGAGAAGCTGGATGATATGAAGAAAAATGTAGCATCGGGACTAGAGGAAGGCTTGTTAACAACCTGCGGTATATACAGATTGACACAACCTTGCTTGCTATAAATCAGGAGACTTGAAGCACTTGCTGCAAGGATTGTAGCCTTCAGTATGGATTAAAATGTAAGGAAGACCAAAATCTTCACAACTGAGCCAATCATGATAAATGGAGAAATGGTTACTGTTGCCAAGGACTCTGTCTTGCTTGGATCTACAATCAATGCTCAGAGAAGCAGCAGTCAAGAGGTCAAAAGACATGCTGCATTAGGTAAATCTGCTGCACAAGATCTCTTTAGAGTATTAAAGAGTAAGGATGTTACTTTGAGGACTAAGGTGTACCTGACCGAAGGTATACACCCAGGGTATTCTCGATTGCATCACATGCATATGAAAGTTGGATATGGAATAAGGAAAACCACAGAAGAATAGATGTGTTTGAATTGTGGTGCAGGGGAAGAATTATTGAAAGTACCATGGACTGCCAAAAGGAAAAACTGATCTGTACTGAAAGATATAAGGCCAGAGTGCTCCTTAGAGGAAAGGATGGCAAGACCTCGTCTTACCTACTTTGGACATATTATCAGGAGAGACCAGACCCTGGAAAAAGACGTGTAGTAAAGTGGAAGAGCAGTGAAAAAGAGGGTCCTCCAGAAGATGGTTTGACATGGGGGATGCATCAGCACAATAGGGATTCCTCCAATATACTGGACTGTATAAACCATATACAAAGCCACAAAGCATGAAACAATAAATATCTTAAAACAGAAATCATACAAGTATCTTCCCTGATTAAAACAGAATGAAACTACAAATTAATCTCATAAAACGGAAAATACACAATATGTAGAAGTCAAATAACACAATACTAAAAAAAAATAGATCAAGAGACAAATCAGAAAACACTCAATATAGCATGAAAATTAAAGCAAACCATACCAAAACCTATGGAACACACCAAAGGCAATGCTAAATGGAAATTCTAGCGATAAACACCTACATTTTCTTTTAAGTCCTTAAATCAAGAGCATAGTAACTTGAAGAACTTGAAAAAGAAGAGCAAACCAAGGCCAAAGCTACCAGTAGGGAGAAAAGATAAAGATCAGAGCAGGAATAATTGAAACCAAAAACAGCAAACAACAGAATCAATGAAACAAGTTGTGTTTTCAAAAATTCGGTAAAACCAATAAGCCTTTAGCTAAACTGACAAAAAAACACACAAAGAGAATAGGCAAAGATCTAAAATTAGAAATGAAAGACAATAAAAGTGACCACCAAAAGAAAACGTTTTATAAAGCATAGCATGAGCAATTACTAAAATTTTCATATGCACCCTGCCCATGTAACACGAGCATACTTAGCATGCATTATTATATAGGAAACTAACGTGCAAGGGGTTGTGTGGTTGACTAAAACCGTATAACATGAATTTTTCTATATGAAACTATAGATAAATTTAACACATTAGCTAACTGAGAGGAAAAGGACAAATTCCTAGAAACACATATACTTTCTACATTAACAAAAAGAAATGAAAGCTCTCAAAAGACTCACAAGGAGCAAAGAGATTGAGTCAGTAATCATAAAAGAATCCTACCCAGATGGTTTCACTAGAGAATTCTACCAAACATTTACACATATACCAAAAAAAATGTCAATCCTTCTTCATCCACTTACTCACTGTCAGCAAGTGGATTCTGACTCTGAATGGCCTTAAACTTTTCCAAAAATAGAAGAGGGTACACTTCCTAACTGGTTCTAGAAGCTACTAGTGTTACCGTGATACAAAAGCCAAATATAACACAAAAAGAAAATCATAATCCAATATTCCTTATGAATATGGACACAAAATAGTAGTAAAATAAATAGTAAAGAGTACTTTTTAAAAGATAATACACCATGATCATGTAAGTGTTATCTCAGAAATCCAAGGATGGTTCAATTTTGAAAAATCAATCCAGATAATATACTACATTAACAAAGCAAAGGAAAGAATCAGATGTATAGCTCAGTCAGTGCATAAAAAGTATTTGACAAAAATCCAACAGCTTTGCATAATAAAAACATTCAACCATGTAAGGATAAAAAGCAAACTGCTCAATAAGCTAAAGACCATTTATAAAAACTCAATTCCTTGCATCATTTTCAAAATAAAAATGCTGAGAACTTTCCCCTTAAAATGAAGAATAAGACAAAATACCCTCTCTCACCATTCTATTAAAGATTTACTGGAAGTAATAGCCAGAGCCCACACAAAAAGAGAAGAAAAGTAGCCCTTTTCAGTGATGGCAAGATCTTGTATATTGAAATTTTTTTTTTTTTAAATTTAATTCACAGGAAAAATACTAAAGCTAGTAAATTACTTCTCCAACATAACAGGCTACAAGGTCAACGTGCAAAAACTAGTTGACTAAACAATTGGTTCCACACATTAGTAATGAACATTCTGGAAAATGATACATTACTGAGAAGAAAAAAACAAAACAAAAAACTCACTGCCATCGGGTCAATGACAACTCACAGCAACCTTACAGGGCAGGGTAGAACGGTCCCGGTGAGTTTTTCTGAGGCTGTTGTTGTTGTTGTTGTTGTTGTTGGATGCCATATCTAGTTGGTTCCGACCTAAGAGATTCTTATGTACAACAGAACAAAACACTGCCCGTTCCTGCTCCATACTCACAATTGTTCCTATGCTTCAAGCCATTGCTACAGCAACCGGGTCAATGCACCTCATCCAGGGCCCCCCTTTCTGTGCCCCTCTACTTCATCAAGCATGATGTCCTTCTCCAGGGACAGGTCTCTCAGGAAATATCCAAAGGATCTAAGATTCATCTATCATCCTTGCCTCTATGGCGCACCCTGCCCTTACTTCCTCCAACACAAGCTGGTTTGTCCTTTTAGCCATCCCATGGTACTTTCAATATTCTTCCCCAACACCCAAATGTATCCATTCTTCTTCAGTCTTCTTTATACAATGCGCAACTTTCACGTGCATTATGAGGAATATGCAAATACCCTGGCTTGAACCTTAGTCCTCAAAGAACATCCTTGCTTTTCAATACTCTAAGGAGGTCTTGTGCAGATTTACCTAATGCAACTCATCTTTTGATCTCTTGACTGCTGCTTCCATGAGCACTGATTGTGGATCCAAGCAAGACAAAATTCTTGACAACTTCAACCTTTTCTCCATTTATCATGATGTCACCTATTGGTCTAGTTTTGAGGATTTTGGTCTTCTTTTACATTAAATTGCAATCCACACTGAAAGCTGAAAGCTTTCGTCTTCATTAGCAAGTGCTTTAAGTCCTCCTCACTTTCAGCAAGTATGGTTGTGATATCTGCATATGTCAGGTCATTAATAAGTCTTCCTCCAATCCTGATGCCACACTCTTCATATAAGCCAGCATCTGATGATTTGCTCAGCAGACAGATTCAACGAGTATGGTGAGAGCATGCAAGCCTGATGTACAGCTTTTCAGATTTTAAACCATGCAGGATTCCCTAGTTCTGTTCACACAGAGGCCTCTTGATCCATGTGCAAGTCCTGCAGGAGCACAATAAAGTGTTCTAGAGTACCCATTCTTCTCAAGGCTTTCCATAGTTTGTTACAATCCACAAAGTCAAATGCCTTGGCATAGTTGATAAAACACAAGTAAACATGTTTTAATATTCTCTACTTTCAGCCAAGACCCATCTGATGTCAGCAATGATATCCCTTATTCCAGGTTCTCTTTTGAATCAACCAGAACCCCGTGTCAATGTACTGCTGCAACTGCTGTTGGATGATCTTCAAGAAAACTTATTTGCATGTGATGTTAATGATATTGTTCTATACATAGATGTGTATTTAGGCAACCCTGGAAGCGCTGTGGGTTAGGTGTTGGGATGCTGTACTACTAGCTCAAACCCACCAGCACTTCCCCAGCACTCAAATACACCCAACTGTATGCTGAAAGTAAGGCTGTCTGCTCTTATAAAGATTATTATACAGAGTCTCGAACACTATATAGGGTTGCTACAAGCTGGGATCAACTCTGTAGCAGTTTCCGTTTGGAGGTGTGTCACAATGCAAAACTGAAAGGCCAAAAGTAGTCAACATCCACTATCAAAACAGCAACCTTCTGCCAAGGTCTAAGAAGTAATAAAACATTCACTTTTGTCTGAGAAATTAAGGTACATTAAAAGAGGGAATAGATTTTTTAGTAACCTCAAGTACTCTAAAAAAAAATAGAAATTGTTAAAATATCTACAAACCACACCACCACCATCACTGCCCCATTAATTTCTACTGATTATAAGCAGTTACTCAACAACTTACAAACTACATTAAAACTGATCAGAGATGAAAGCAGCACCAGAGGGGTGTGTGTACTAGAGGCCCCTGAATTGTTCACGTTGAGTAGAGTTGGTTCATTTAATGTTATGTGATGTTAACTTAAAAATGATTTAAAAACTGACTTGAAGTAGAATTAACAAAAGTCAAATCATGAGCATGCAATCCTCTGATTTTTAAGTGACATAATTGTACTGTTTTAATTTTACTGCATTTTTCTTTACCCTGGGGTACATAAGGTACTCCCTGTTCTCTACTAGCTCTAACTGTGAAAGAACTATACTCAAACACGATTAGAACTTAAACTAACCACATTATCATTAAATAAACAATTCAATACATGTTTTTTTTTTAAGAAGCCCTGAAGGCACAGTAGCTGAAGGGACAGGCTGTAAACTAAAAGGTCAGGGGTTCGAATCCATCAGCCACTCAATCCTTAGATTTCAGCCTGGGAAACCCGCCAACATAGTCCAACTCTGTCTTACAGGATCACTCTGTGTAGGGGTCGACTGGACAGCAGCAGTTTGGTAGTCTTTTATTTTTGTGGTGATTTTGAGGCCAGATTTGTTTTAATGGAGCCAAGAGGAAAGAGAACATTAGTTTTACAACCCAGTGCACCAGTTAGGTGAATGGAACAAGGACTATGGCTTTCCACGAATCTCTGTCCAGCAACTTTTCTTTAAATTAACTACTTTAAATATTATCAGCTCAAAATAGATGATCTTAAAACAAAGAGAAAAGGTGGAGGTGGGAGGGAATGCCAGAAGTAAAAATCTAACCCATACGCCTTAAGAGAAAAGCAAATGTGTACACAGTATCCACTGATGATGTAGAAGCCAAATGCTGATATGGCATGTGTGTCACGGTCCCTGAATCTGAGAGCGGGTGAGAGTGTCACCAGAACTACACTCCTAGGGACAAGTGGAGAAGCAAGAGCACAAGCAGAAAGGTCTTCCAGTCAATGGGAGCAGTGGAGAAAAACAACAAAGGACAAAGAGTTCTAAGCGCCATCTCTAAACAGCAATACTGAAAAACCCAAAACTCTGGGACCCTTGTACATGATTCAGCATCAGATAGGCCTTCCTTATCCTGCTCTGAGTAGCTCAGACGACAACGTGGGATCTGTTTTCTATCCAAAAAGACCATGGCAAGAAGCAAGTTTGGTACGGGAGAGTGCTAAACTGTGAAATGCTCTCATAGATTCATTCCTTAGGAACAACATAACCAAAGACTGCTTCTAGATTACTGAAGACCGTCTAAGCAAACTGAGGATGTACATAAGCAAATCTTGGTTTTCGTCCTTTAAAACGAAACTTCAGCAAAGAACTGAATCACGAGTGTGTACCTCTACTGTCTCATGATGACATGGACAATACACACTAATGGAAAAGAGAGGAAACAACCTGCCCTTCACCCGCTGCACCACACACTCCCCTTCCCAAGGGCACCATCCAAGGGCACCATACCATCTCTAACGTCTCTGCCATTAAACCAAATGCATTCTGCCAAAGTGCTAACAAGGCAATGAGTCTTCACTAAACAAGTTCAAACAGAGAGGAGTAATTAACCTTTAATTTAAGTATGTTACTGGTGTGCATTTCTATTGGTATGGTAATTCCATTATAAAATGTATAAATCACATCCATATATAAATTCACACTGCCACAAAATTTTAGTCAGAATTCTTCGATGGATTTTTCTTGCTCTATGTGTATTTTTTTTCTGAAAATACATCATCATGCTAAATTACTGCATGAAGGTGCTTCTGGATGTTCATGAGAAAATGGAAGTAAACGATAATGGGTCTCTTTCCATGAACTTTTTGAAATCCCTGCTTATGTACTTTATGCATATGATCAGTCACACTTTATTTTTACATAGGAATTATCAATGTATCTATTGTAACCAAAGAACTTTGCCTAGCAAGGTAATTTACAGTACCAAATTAGCTAGAGCTATAGATATGGCTTTGTCCTTACAATTACATGAACTTAAATTGTCTCCAGTTGCATTTTTCTTTAAGTTTCTAAGTTCAGAAAGTAGATTATAACCAAATAAGCTTAGAAATAACAAGACCCTGTTTATCACCGCTGACAATTATCTAGGTACCTAAGTGGCAGGTGACAGTGACTGTAGTCACACCAGTTCCCTCACCCCAAGCAGCCCAAGCATAATTTACAGCAGATGAAACCAGTGTAACATCAGTCTCTCTACACAGCAGGGTAGGAGGAAGGTGTGCTTTCAGCATTTCAGTAGTCACAGAGTTCATGCCATACCTGTGCTCCGTAGATATATTTATCCAACATCTTGCCTCCTATTGTCTGTCCTCCTATATCCCAAACTTGAAGAGTAACGTTCAAGTTTCCTAGAATATAAAAAATGAGTATCAAAGGAAGGACATAGGAAAGGCAACAGGAGGTGACAGTGTAACCGCGGAGAGGAGCCTGGTGTGCCTTTCAGTCTGTAGGAAGGAGGATCAGATGGTTGAAAAGCAAATTACGTTGCATGAGAACTCATACTCCAAGTCCACGGAACCACATTCACAATCGTCCTCAAAAAGGAGAAAAAGAAAGTAACGTTTAATGAACAAACTTAAACCCTAAAAAAATGCATCTACATCTTTAAAAGGCACTATAATGTAGTAAACCACATGGACAGTGAGGTAAGTAAGACATAGAAGCGAAACTTGGGAGATATTAACCAACCCAATCACACACGTGGGTTTTGTCTGTAGGTTCTAAACTCTGTTGGTTCTATAGCTCGCAGAAAAATAATGTACTACAGAAATACACTTTCATTCACTTGAATGAAAGAATTTTATTTGAACATCAGCTTTTATAGGTAATGGCAAACATGATTTAAAAACTACCTGTTTGCAAATTTAAGCTATAAAACACAAACACATTTCACAGCCCCCTGGAAAAGCGATGTCAGACAAATAGCCAGCAGATCACTAAATATGCTGCACTCAAACCTGTTCCGAGCACTTCATCTGAAAGAAATTCTCAACACGTACCTGAATGCCTTCATGAGACAGTGTAACTGCGTTATTCCACACAAGCCTTACAGACGCATTCTACAATACTAACCGACAATCCCTAAAAGGTACTTCAGCATTTGGTCATTACAAAAACGTACAAGGTAAGCTGGTCTCTTTTATCAATGCAACCTCTGCCTGAATTCCACAAGGCCAGGCCTATGTCACCTATACATTTTTTGTTCAACATTTCAAGCTTTCCTTCTCTTAAAAGTACATCAATTTTATCTCCAGTAAGTTTGTTTCAAAACTTTTCATGCATTAAAAAAAAACTTTTAATGTAGCAATATAAAAAACTAAAATCAGAGAAAGTTATTCACTTGAATAACTAACTGAAAAGAAAGTACCACACTGGATTAACCAGTAGAGTTTTTGCACTGAACCCTGCGTTGTGTTGAGTCTGCATTACAATCTTTCCATTATTTGGCCAGAGGTCTGTTCCATCTGCCAGCATGTAGAGGATTTACATGAGGAACTTCCATTAGCGTTAATGAGAGCAACTGAAGCTTACCCCCCACCTCCGGCACCATTCCCAAATGCACACACTGTCAACATTCGCAGAGTTATGACCACAGTGTGTTTAAACCCCTATAAATACGAAAAGCGGAATGTCACAGGCTAAGATCTGTCCAACAACTTTATAAACTCAATGTCTCCAAGATCTGAATTTTTCAAGATTCATCCTTATAAGAAAGACTGCGTCAGATTCATTAAACAGGTCAGAAAGGACTAGCCATCACTAAACCCTGCTGTGGCTGAGTTGATCCCAACTCACTGCTAGAGGAAGAGAATCTGATGGCCCTGGGTAAACAGTTTACTTACAAAACTGTCCCCATCAACTTGCAAAATTCTTTACAAAATTCATTTGCTTGCCTTCTCCCAATAACATTTCACAATATTAACTTTTATAGAATCTAAATAGTATTTTAGACAACACTTAATAATCAGTAAAAGACGTGGCAGATTCCCATTTTCTCTGCAGCCAATAATCTCTACTGCTTATGCTCGCATCAAGAACTCTGAAAGGAAGACTGGCTGATGGTCTGCTCCGTAAACCTACACCTAAGTTAAACTCAAAAAAGATGACAACAGAAACATGGCCTTCTTTGAATGTTCCCACATTCTGACCACACTTTATGATCATAAACCTTCCAATCAATTGTCTGCAGCCTGAAGAGTTTACATTCATGTATGTAGGGGGATGGGTGGGAGGGGGCACTTTTAAAACCCATACCTTTCCAAATAAACCTGTTTTTCAATGTTGTTATTATTGTTTTTATTCTTCTTTACATGCTACTGACTGAGAGAGGAAAAGTAGCTATGTATTGCTGACAACCCCACTGTCATCAAATCAATTCTGACTTACAGTGATCCTACAGAGGATTTTTGAGATTGAATCTTTATGGGATCAGACAGCCTCATCTTGCTCCCAAGCAGCAACTGACAACTAGTGGGTTTAAACTGCCGACCTTGCAGTTAGCAGCCCAAATGCTTGTATTGCTGGGAGCTTACTAATATACTACACTGGGAAAAAAAAAAAAGAAGCGGTTTCACTAACTAGAGCTTTAACAAGTGATTTTAATGTCATAGTTATTTCATATGTCTAGTAACAAAACATGAATTTCCACCTTGAAATGTTGGTTTATCAACAAATAAAATATAAAATGGAGCTTCCCTGTTGGGGGAACAAAACACGGAAAGATTTGGTTCAAATCCATCCTCATTTTGGTTGTTGCAAGCATAAACATGGCTGGTCTACAGACCTCTTTTCAAAATGACACACCGACAGAGCTTTGTGAGCATATTCATGGAATCAGTATCACAGCATGAAGCAATCACGTCTCCACCTAGTTTACATGTCCCACTGTGAGGGAAGTATGTAACCCCCACTGCATAAGGCTACCAAACACTCCTGCTCCTCTATAAGAAAACACCCCATGACTGGAGAGAAAATGAAATAAATGAGGTGACAAATACAGGTACGTTGTTTTTGGTCTGAATCAAAGACACCGAGAGGATCCGACAGTGACCTTGTAAAAGTACACTTGACGCTTCGGTTAACCTTACTTAAAGTGCTGCATAGTCATGATGGAACTAAAAACACAAGTCTGCCCACTTCTTGTACTGAAGACTTAGAAATCCTTCTCACAGTAGAAGGCTGTTTACTGGTCTGTACCCACAAGCTTCCTGAGAGTATTTTGACTAAGGCTCTTAAGCAGCTCTATCAGCAGAATCTCTGACTAGCAGATACACTATTTTAAGCAGTAAAATCTGCACAGTGGTTGCATCCAGACTATACAGCATACCGGATCGTGAAATACACTGAAATGGATGAGTATTTGCAAAGTAATGGCCTTGAAAGCATGCGTGAAGAGAATGCGACTAGATAGACAGAAGGTATTCCCAACCCAGCTCTCCTAGTGGGCAGCAGACTTCCTAGAACCCTGACAAACAGTTGATCTTCCGACTGCAAGAAGGCTGCCGGAATGTTTTAGGAAAGGACACAAACAGTAAGGCTCTACATTTGACACTTACAATGAATTAATACTAGGGTTAAATGACATAAAAGGCATGATATGAGTCTAGTAACCTATTCACTCATTTCTTAATCTGTTCATTTTAAGTATATAAAATTAACATGTATTAAAACCATGAAATTTCTACTACGTTTTTTAGTCTACTACGTAGCATAAAACCACTATCTTTTTAAAAATCTCTTTCTGCATCTCTGCCCACCAAAATAAAAACTTAATCAGGAAAATGAAAAGATACATTCATTAAGTATATCTACCTCCTATTGTCACTTCATAATCTAAGTGCTTTCTTATTCTAATATTTAAATCTTATGCTACAAATTTGGATTCCGAAAATATCAAACTCTTCTACAAAATAAAAACCAAACCAAACTCACTACTATTGAGTCAATGCTGACTCATAAACAAAATGTAAAAACTGCAGGAATGTGCCACAGATCAGAAATCAACATAAAATTTAATATATAACGTATATGAGGGGGCTTCAAAAAGTTCATGAAAAAATAAAGCATTAAAAGAAATAGAATTTTATGATGAAGTTTTTGAAGCCCCATCCTATAAAATGTCCCAAAAAATGTTTGCTTCTTATATAGGCATTTCAACAAAAAAATCATAAAGATTAAACAACATTAAGGGACAGAAAGTTGGTACTTTTGGTAATTAAGAATCATAACAAAACAGCTAATAACTAAAACTACATCTAGATTATATATACAACATATATAATTGGCATTTCCCCACCCTATAGACCCCCCCAAAAAAAACTGAAAAATGTTTTCAGTATTCATATTATAGAATTTGTGTATGTCTATGCTACTGCGTGGTATAGGTTGACATTCTAAATGTAGCATTAGCTTGTCATTAATGGTAAGGATAATTTTTTTAAAATGCGATTTTCAGCTTTGAATACATTAAAACCCAAGTGAAACAAAATACACACGTGTTTCTCATTAAACCGCTTGCTGAACAATAAGTTAAGTCATGGAAAAATCAGAATTCTTTTCTAATTCGAAACCTTCTAACCTATTTTTCATTGGTAGCAGAATAAAATCTATCCAAGTATTATACTAATGAGATTCACGGAATACCTGCAATTACCAAGAGGTTTCATTAGCTGCTTTAAAACTTTCGTGGGAGCTGTCTGATAAATGAGGTGTTTGAGAGGTTAGCATATTTCAATAATATTCGAATTTATGAAACCCCTTCCCACAATATCCCTCACGTTCCAATGAATGAATGTGACATCACACTTGCAACTGCTTTATTCGAATGTGTTTCCTCTGAGAGGAGGGAGAGGAGGGATGGACTGGCTTACAGAGTCAGTGAAGATAAACAGCTTCTAATAAAAACTGGCACACGTTTAACTTGACCAGTGCAAGTGAATGGACAGAGTATTTTAAAGCCCCAATTGTTCCGAAACTAACTTAAAACAGAAGCCACTCTTTTTTGTTATTATTTCCCTGTATTTCCCACAAAATGTGCTGCAACTGGCATCTAAATAGTTTCTTTGCATGGTGAACTGAAACATCTTGAATGCTCAAACTGTATTTTTATGAGTGCCTGGGGACCCTAAATTTTAGTGGTCTATTAAATGCCAGCAATTTCATGCTGCCTTGCATAAAACAGCATTCACATATTAGAGTACAGAAGTTCCACAGCTACATTATACTTCTGTTCCAACTTGCAAACAAAACACTCTGGCAGAGTCTAATCAAAATAATATTTTTTAAAATAATCCTTCCCAATCTTTTCACATTTAGTTAATACATTATCTGCTGACAAATGGACAGTGTTGGATTTCTTTTCAATGTTTTAGAATTTTAAAAGCAAGTATAGTTTATCTCTGGAAAATGTATAGTAGCCCAAAAAGGAAGGGGGGTGGGGGTGGCATTAGTTCTTTTTTTTTTTTCCTCACACCCACAGTCAGTATGCCTCCAGGGTAGCTGCTGATGAAAGTTCGCTTCCCCAAACTAGATTTATTGATTGTTTGTATTTCCATACAGCCACAAATTCTCTTACACAATTCAGCATTGTGTCTCTTATTGTAAGATTTGCACAATCTTCTGTGTTAAAATTTTTAGTCTCTTACCTGGCAAGGTTATCCTTCTCAAAAAGAAATCCAGTCCTATAGTTTGTTTGTACTCTTTCGCAAATGTCTCTTGAGCAAAGTACGTAACTAAAGAAGTCTAAAAAAAATTGAAGTACAGAATATCAGAATTAATTTATGTTTTAGAAAATGTTAGCACAAAAACATTACTCAATTTCATTTAAGAAGCTTAACACATACACAGCCATTAACCCAAGAAGCAATGGGAAGCAGTTCCAAACAGTTACACAGCAAGGGAGAGCAGAGCCGTAAATCGCACAGGCCAATTGTGATGGGGGCACGATGGGGGGAAAGAAGAGGGCAATGCTAATCCTGATTGTCAAGTTCATTCTCCCGACTGTGAAACAAAATTTAAGATTTATTAGTAGGAAAAATTAAAAGAGCATGGTTCAAGATCTTGAACTATGAAGAATTCTAAATTTCACTTCCAAGGCTAAATATCAAAAGTAGCCTATGCTCCTGATAATAAGAACAATTACAAAATAAGGAGAGCCTGCTTACTGAATGCCTATTTTTCCCCCCACCACGGGAAGCATCTTTTAAATGTCTCAGTTTTGTTCCTATTAAAGATACTAAATAAAAATGAGTCTGTAGGATAGCTGATAATAGACCTTGGTACTCTTATGATTAATGTGAAGCAGATAACGTAAGTGGCTTCCAGGCCAAGAATCAGAGTGACAAAATTACAAGGGCATTATAACCAGAGCAGATAGGCATCAACTTTTTAAAATGAAAATCCAAGTGTTATTAGGGAGGGAAAAAGCCCTGGTGTTTTCTGTAAGAGGGTCACTTCCTAACCAAGCAGAATCAACATCCACACGAGCCAACACAATAGTTCAGAGAGGTCCCTAAACATTTTCAATGCATTATTAGTATTAATTAATAATTAATTCTTCCCAAGAAAAGAAAAAGCAGTCTTACTACGCATTTATGTTCATCAAGAGAGGTTTTTCAAAAAGCTAAGAGAAAGTAGCCCTCAAAAAAAAAAAAGTTAAAACGAGATGTCAGCTCTTAAAATAATGAAAAATAAGGTAAGTTGTCAAGATCCCGTATCATAGTTCATTAGGATGTAATAAGAGCAATGGGAAAAGAACCTGGGCCCTAATTACAATTCCTTCAAAGAAGACTTAAAATTCCTTTTGACTTAAGAACCAGAATTTTTACACAAATAGTCATTTGGGCACCCTAACTCCAAATTTTTACATACGGCAATATTCAGTATTTAAAGTTAATTTCTAGAATGGTTGGCCAAATGTTTATTGAGCATTACTATCTGAAAGGTGTTCTGTTAACATTATCAACCAACCGCATGGCACCAGAGGGAAAACAGATCTGACTTCCTCAAAGCTTACAGCAACAAGATCAAAACTGAAAGAGCAGGATAAAAAAAGGTAAGCATTCCTTTTTAAAGTCTTTTGGTTTTCGTGTAACCTTAAGAGTACCACGGAACTGGTTTAAGAGAGCACAAAAGCAGTTCTAGAGGAAACTATCCCGCTCACATCAGATAGTACAGAGTGTTTACTGTGTGGGTGCCTGAATTGCTTTCAGAAGTCAGAGTGACTCTCAAGGCACAGGTAACATCATCATGCGGTCATTTCTAAGGTAATTTTTCACTTTCATTTAAGATTCTCAACTTGGTATTTTCCTACTAATTTCAAAGAAAATCTATAGTTTTTGAAACTTTGGAATAGCACACCTTCACATTTTTGAGGCAGATATAAAGCAAGCATTTTCCATTGAAATAAAATACCAAAGGTATAGCCCACCAGCAACGGGGGACTCTAAGGGGGTTCTTACCACAGCATCTCCTGACCTGTTGCCAGGGACGGACACCTTCCTCTCCAGATAACTGACTGTGCCATCTCGCACATTCAGCACTTTCTCTGTACACATGCCCTAGTTAAATTAAATAATCACACAACGTGAACAAGCCTCCATCATACCTAGAATATTTTTATCTGAGTCTCATTTTTGTTTGAAGAAAAATGTGCTAACAATTTTTAGTCATACTACATGTACTTACACAAAAAAAGACCCCATCGAGGCAGGTTTTTTCATATACAAAATCGTATCAATATGCAATATAATCAATAAGTATGAATCAGAACAGGGCAAAACGAACACTTTGTTTCTAGGGAAGAGGAGTTAAATATTCCTGGGGAAACTATCAGTGGCCATGGCCGTTCTCCACTGCTTCTGTCAGTACAGATTGAGAAGTGCCCACCATTAGAATGAGCAAGAAAACAATGCTAGCAAAAATGGCCAGAAATTAAATCAGGATACAGACAAGGGTGAAGAGGACCCAGGTGGAGAGGGGGCCGGGAATGGGAAGGCTAGTAGCTACCAATAATTGAGGAGCTGAATGGGAGTTGGGGGTTAAAATATAACATGAATAAAAAGGCAGACTCCAGTCATTTAGCTACTATGGTGTACAAAGGGATTATTTGATCAAAACAATGAAGACGAAGCCAGCACAGCAGAATACCACCACTATGATATGCACAAGGGTAGTTAGTCCTCAGTGAACCGTGTGGAAATGTTTAAATGAAGCTCTCTTCTACACTGGACAGAATTTCAAGGAGGTCTTAAAATACACGTAGACTACCCAACATGGGAGAACTCTGTACGATCAAGTTAAATGAAAAACTCTATATAAAATTAGGAACGATTTTCAACTAACCCCAGTATACCAGGACCCCCACTATTGGCAATTTGATTTGGTCTCCTAGCGACCCTACAGGCTAGTATAGACCTGCCAGGCAGGGTCTCCCAGGCTATAACCTTTATGGAAGTAGACTCCCATATCTTTCTCCCTCAGAGCGACTTGAGGATTCAAACCACCAGGCTTTCAGTTAACAGCCAGGGCTTCTAACCACCGCACCCTCAAGGCTCCTATTACCTGTTGAATAGCAGAGAACTACGGGGGGAAACAAAGAAGCCAGAGACATGATGGAGTGTAGGAGGGTCAGTTCTCCAGTTTCTATATGAGTGCATCCGTAATTTTTACACGTTATTATGTCAAGCAGGAAATAAACTCCTATGGATACGATTTAGTAAATGTTTTAGGTGTCCTTCAAACGGAAATCTAAGTTCTCAGAAAAACTATCAAAATATAACTCCTCCCCACCCCCAAGTAAAGTGTTAGGAATGATATTGTATGGTTTATAACAATCCACCCATACAAAGGTGGTTTTGGAGTGTCCAAAAACCCATCTACTGTCGCATAACAGAAAATGATCCCAAGTTCTCTTCCCGTCCTTGTGCCCCCCACCCCATGCACACATACTCCCCGCCCCACCCACCCCAGCCCCCCAAGATGAAAGGTAACCAGAGCCCAAGGAGTTGCTTTCCGGAGCAATAAAAATCAGTCACAATGTATCCAGCAAGGCAGGAAACCATTAACCAAATACCCCAAACAACAGAATTACACCTGTCCCCTCGGGCCTAAAAATCTCCCATCTCAGCGTGCTGCCCGCTGCCAAGGGAGGCTGTCACTCCAGAAATCTGCTGGAAGGTGGGAGCAATTCGCACCCCGCACTGGAACACTGAAGGGGGGGGACACACTTTGGCAAGACTCCATGAAATAGACAGAAAGGGAAGGTGTGACGGCACCTTGAGGAAGGTCTTAGCTCCCTTTTTTTTTTTTTTTTTTGGGGGGGGGGGGGCCACAGAGCTCTTTGACAGCCAATGGCTTCCCTGAGCAGGTACCAGGCAAGGTCGCTTCCAGGTCCCCAGACCCGGGTTAAGAACCCTGCCCTGGAGGTCACGTCTGGCTGGCTGGAGGGCACTGCTTGCTTCCTTCTAGCGCCCCCTCCATCTGGCCCGCAGCTTCACCAGAAAATAACAGGTGAGTACATGCGTGCGCTGTCAGGAGCTGAGTGGAGACCCTGAGAGCAGCCGCTAACGTTTACGGCGGGGTGTCACCCCACGCCCTGGAAGTGCCCCCCAAATCCATGCTGCGGAGGGGGCACAAGAGGTTTGGTGACCCTCACCCCCGGAAGGAAGCCGGGGTCAAATGGCTTGGCAGATCCTTGCCAGTTCTGGAAAGCTGCCCTGCGAAACGAGGCTGTCCGAGCCTTGGGAAGGTGAAGGAGGTATTTGTGATCGGCAAGTTGGGAAGTGACTTTTTTCCTTTTTTATTTATTTTTCGGCGGGGGGGATCCTGGGGGGAGATGGGTGCACAGCCCTAGTCCGCGTCCGCCGGGCACCCGCTTCGGGTCCCGCTCCCAGGCACCGCCGGGTGGGCTCGGGCCTAAGAGCTCCGGCCGGGCTCCGGGTACCAGGTGACCCCCGGCGGCGGGCGGAAGCCGAGAGACGCCGGGCCACGCCCGGGCTCCCGCAGGCCCAGCACGGCGGGCCGGTGCGAGGACTGACCTTCCCGGAGGTGCCGTCCCCCAACACGACGATTTTCAGTTGCCGGTCCTGGCTCTCCTCCTCAGAGTCCGACATGATGTCCCGGGAAGCAGGCCCGCCCCCTGCCCGAGATGGAGGGCAGAGCGGCGGGAACGGGCCTCCGGGGGCGGGGGAGGAGAGAAAAGGCGGCCCTGCAGGCAGGACCCCCCGCCCCGGGGCTATCCGCGGCGGTTGGTGGGATCCGGGGCGAATCACTCGCCGGGAGCCATCTTGCCCGCCTCCCGGCCTCCCCGCCCCCTGCGCGCTACGTCGGTACGTGCCCCTGTCTTCTGGCCAACCCGCGCCGACCGCGAACCCTCCGGGCGAGCTGCACCACTCGTCGCACAGCCGCAGGGGTGCTTCCCAGACAGCAAGTCGAAACGCGTCGCTCCCTTGCGTAGACCGTTGGATAGAGGAAAAGCTACCGTATTCAGTTAAAAATAGGCGGAAATATGATAATGGAGTGTCTCGCCTGGGTTCTCTGAAAGTCCTGTGTTTCCTGCCCTACTGTAGACTGTCCCTCAGACGAATGGTTCAGTCCAGAGTTGGAGGGGCGGGGAGACGCCTGGACGGCGTGCTGCGGTTGCCATGGATGCAGGTAGTGGGCGGGGCGGCGTGGGGGCGGGGCCTGTCTCTGGGTACCCGGGACGCTCGTTACCTGGCAGAGCGGGCCGCAGACCCGTCTGCCCTCGGGAAGTCTCAGCCCCGGGGAGACCGAGCCCGAGCTGCGGCCACTGCGGAGTCGGAAAGAGCCGGTGCTTGTGTCGGGCGCCGCGGGACAAAGAAGCTGCAGTAGCAGCCACGAGTGTAATGAAGGCAATGCGAGCTTTGAACCTGGCGCAGTCTCTGCTTTTCGCGCTCGCAAACCCTTGTCTTCCTGCCTGGTCCACGGAGAATCCGATGATTCCATTCATTAGGCATGCCTCCCTCACAGCACGGATGTTGGCCAGAGATGCCTGAGGATCAAAAGCGGAGTCCACGCGATTTTTCACAATCACACGTTATTTGCCTTCTTCACGTTCTTTCTCAAGTAAGCAGAGCGAGTGGGGACGATGCAGGACTATATGACGTCATCACTCGGGCAGCTAGGGGAATGCGTGCCCTGATTTTCTGCTTAAACATTGCTCATAAGATTCTCAATGCAGTCATGACAGCTAGATGGGGGCAGTGGTAAAATTCTCAACCTTCCATAGGAGAAGCCTGGGTTCAACCCCTTGCCAATGACCCACACATGCAAGCCACCGCCTGTCAATCAATGCAGGCTTTGGCTGACTCCGAACGAGTTGCAGCTGAGCTTCCAGATCAAGACGGACTAGGAAGAAAGGCCTAGTTATCTCCTGAAAATAAAGCAGCCAATGGAAATGACTCACTGCCTGCCATGGATTCAGAACGACCTCCTCGGACAGGGTAGAACTGCTCCTGTTGGCATTATCTTGTAAAGTTGAAGGTCTAAACACTCTGTGACCCAGAAATTCAGCTCCTAGGTAAGTACTCTATGAAATTGCATGCACAATGTACCAGGAGACATGTGCCACAATTTTCATAGATTTGTTTTCATTAGAAAAAAATAGCCAAAGGCATTCATCAGCAGAATGGATCCAATTTTGGCATAGTTACACAGGAAATACTTTACAGCAGAGAAAAAGAATGAATGACAACCACATGGATTCATCCTAGAAACATAATATTGAGCGGAGAAAGCTAATGCCAAAAGACTACATACATGTGTTGCTGTTGGGTGTCCTCAAGGCAATTCCAGTTCATAACAATCATATGTACTATAGAACAAAACACTACCCAGCCCTGTGCCATCCTCAGAATCACTATGTTTGAGTCAATAATTGTAGAAGCTATGTCAAACATCTCGTTGAAGGTCTCCCACTACTTCGCTGATACTCTGCTTTACCAAGCATGATGCTCTTCTCAAAAGCTAGAAAAGGAAATCCTAAAAGAAATTGATGGCTGTGAATTCTTTTGTTGACAAGGAGCATTCACTATTTGGTGGACTGCCAGAAGAATAAACAAAAGATGAATTGACACAAGGCCTACAACAACGGGCTCAAACATGAATGACCACACAGGGTGACTCAGGATGCAACAATGTTTCCTTCTGTTGTACTAATAGGGTCTCTGTGAATCAAAATAGTCCCAACACCACCTAACAACAACAACATTCTGCAACAATGACAATGAATTGATTTCTACTTGGTATAACATGCAAGATGGTCATCAAGATATTGAATTTGAAAAGCTATGCTCCATGATTCCACTTCCGTAAAGTTCATAAAGTAACCTCTGGTATTAAGTCTAGGATGTATGTATGGATTGTAATAAGAGTTGTATGAACCCCCAATAAAATGATTTTTTTAAATAAATAAAAGTCTAAATGATTGCATGTAAAGACGGAAAAGAGTGTGGTGATTGGGAGAGGGACATGAGAGAAAAGGACTTGGAATATCGGCAGTATTTCAGTCCTTGATCTCAGTAAGGAGTTGCGTGGGTCCACCCATCCTTCTAATAATTCATTGAAATACACTCGAGTTTTAAGCAATTTTCAGGATGTTACTTATAAATTAAAATTCTACCTATATGCCTATTATCACTGACAGTAAATGCATTGTAAAGTAAGCCTAGAATCATATAAACCAAATGTTTAATAGCCGTTAACATAGATTACAGAGAACTATCATGTTCCATGCTAGACATTCCTGGATATTGTATGTAAATAAAATCCAGGAATGTCTAACATGTCTATATATATATACACTCTGAGAGTGAATCTGAAAACAAAAATGATGCGAAAATAGGTGAATAACAACATCCGGCTAATAGTTACCAACAGTCATTTCACATGTGATTAGTCAATTCCACTAGAAAGCCTGTGAGTTTCATAATCATCTGAAAGTCTTTGTTGGAAAAGAGAAAAACTACTGTTGTTTGTAATGGAGCTGGTTTGTAAGCCGCCATTCCCAGCTGTCCACAGTTCCGCCTCATTGACTGGGGATGTGCTTCGTTGATTCTGAAAGCAGAGCTCCAGACAAAACCAAAAATCTTTAGGGCAGGAGAGTTTGCCAATCACCTCCACAGCTGTGAAAACTACACCTCCCACAACCTACCAGCAGGTCTGACATGGTTAAACAAGGTAATATGTGTGAAAGTGCTTTGAAAGATAGGAGCTGTGGTACAAATGCTAAATATTACTGGAGGCATGATTGTGGATGAGTTTGGAGTGAGGACTACTCTGAATTACCCCATTCCACTGAGTGGCACAAATATTCTCCAAAGTCTAAGACTTTTTTTAGTCTCCTCTGAAACCCTGTTTCAACAACTCTTGTCTACTGCATACCAGTACCCTTTTGGTTTCCACTTATCTGTGCTGTTAAATTCCATTTTGAGGTGATCAAACACATGACATACTCTCAAAAAGTATTATCTTAGATCACCTTGAGATGACACTTCCCAAAAATGAGTCCTTTGGGACATTGTTGTTAGATGTCCTCTAGTTAGTTCTGACTTGGATTTTTGTGGGGATGGCACGGGACCATGCAGTGTTTTGTTCTTCTGTGCATAGGGTCACTATGGGTCAAAGCCGACTCCATGGCACCTAGCAGAAACAGTTTATTCATATCTAAGAACCCATTGTCAAAAAATAGATCATAAAGCATTACCCCTTTGTTTGCTTCTGACGTTTTTGTCATTTTGGTTAATCCATTTTGAGTTACAATAGGATCCAGCAATTTGACTCCTCAACTCTTCAAGATGTTAGTATTTGTTATGTTTGTCTTTCATTAGAGCTTTCTGGACATTGGGACCGCTTTTTTCCTACAGTTCACCTGTTATAATGAGATCTACTTGAGAAGTGATCAAATTTCTGCTTCTCACACTTACAAACTTCCCCTTTAAAAACCATGCTGTCCTTCAGGGACTGGTCTCTCCTGACAACATGTCCAAAGTATGTAAAATAAAAGTAGGACACGTGAATACACCACTATATGCAAGGATGAGGTAGAACACACAAGGGACAAAATTAGGAAAATTCCTCAGACATACTCAAACCCCTCAAGGGAACAAGTTGCCAAACTTAAGGGATCAGGATCAGAGTCTTTGGGGGACACCAAGTTTAATAGGTATGACATAGTTCGGAAAGACAAAGTTCGACATTGTAATTTGGCAAGTAGTGGCTGGGGTCTTCAAAGCTCATGGGCTGTCATCTAAGTTACCACTGTTTTTCTCTCCCCATCCAGAGAGAAGAAAAGTGATGACAATCAAGACACAAGGGAGGGAATGGTATCAGAGCTTCCATTCTGAATACTGGTTGGCAGATGACGATGGTGGACAGGTGCAGCCCAAAATCCATGTGCAGGGTCCCCACATGGATTACGCCCCCAGTGAATTCCCTCTGACCATAGTCAAGGGATGCCAATAGCCTGGTCATCAGACAGAGTCCCGCACGGTCGATTATATCAGAGGTCCTTAGGTGAAAATGTAACACCTTATCATTAGATCTCCCTTTCGACTCATTTTAAAGTTTCAGTTTTTAATATATTCTGCTTTCTTCTCTATTAAAGCTTTCCTCTCTTTTGTCATTGTTGGGTTTTGTTTATTTGTGTTTTATATGGTTTTCTGCATGTGAAATCTAGGAGAGGTAAATCGATAGAGATGGGACATGGATTCATAGCTACCTAGGGGCATGGCACGGGAGGCTTGGGGAAAATGGGGAGCTAAGAACCATAAGAGCAGAACATGTCCTGAAATTGATTGTGGTGATGATCGCACAACTCTTCTTTATCTGACTGAATGATTAAATTGTATGCTATGTGATTTATATGCCAATAAAAGTACTAGTATGCCAATAAAAAGACATATGGACACATATATATCAGCCTCCATAACCTTGAGACCATAAGAACTAGATGGTGCCTGGTTACCACTACCAACTGCTCTGAAAAGGATCACGCTACAAGATCCTGGAATGAGTGGGACTATAAGGAAAGGTGAAGCGAAAAGAAAAAAAATCAGAAGATGAGAAACTAAAAACAAAAACTGACTAGCATGGAGTCAATTCTGACTCATAGTAACCCTACAGGACAGAGAAGGACTGCATGTGTACCCTTCTGAGACTGGAAAGCTTATGGGAGTAGAAAGCCCGTCTTCCGCCCGCAGAATGGCTGGTGGTCTCAAAATGGTGACCCTGAGGCTAGCCGCCCAATGCATAGCCCACTATGC